GATCGCACGCTACGAGCTAGTCCTCGAAAGGGACAAATCATAGAGTACATCACGAAATTCTTAGCTCTAGAACTCATGGTAAGTAAGCCTACAAAAAAAACTGTTAGGAACAACTCGAAAGATGACCATTCTAACAAAACAACCTCGAAATCTTTTAAACCGTAATTATCTGAAAAGCAAAAATGGCAGCAGCACCGTCCGTTCCATGCAATATTTGGGATACTGACAACAAACATCTCATGGAGAACATTCGAAGCAGCTCAAATAGGTGAGTAGGCCTAATGTCACCTGGGCATCTGCTCCATGAACCAAACCCGAAGCCGAGTTCGTCGGCGACAAAAAAGGATTTCTCTTTGTAGAATATCATCTTATTAACGGTTACCGACATGGAGTGTAGAGCAAATAAGGTTCTAAAAAGCATAGTGTGAGAGCACCATGGGCGATGCGTAGAGTTCATGACATGGTAAAGTGCTTTCAACCGATTCTACTGCGTAAAAGAGCCCTAGGAGGGCTGTTGAATCGAAAAATCAAAGGCGGAGCTCTGGCTCCACTTGTTGGGCGGAGGCTTCTTTGAGTGGTGCTAATGCGACCCATACTGCTCCTCTTCTTCTATTTTAATCGTCCTTCATGGTCTTTTTAGTGTTCTTTAGTATCCGATCTGGCCTCTGTATTCAGAAAATGATCCATTTCAATCTGTTGAACTTCGCAGAATGTGTTTTTCATGAGCTGAGTCTTCGTCCTGTTTATATGAAGTCCGATTTTTCTTACCGCTTCATTCAGCTTATTGAGACTCGCGTGTGCTTCACTGGTGCTCTTCGAAAGGAGGACGATGTCTTTTGCAAAATCTATCACTTACAGAAATTTGCTGTCATTGGGTATGCCCTATTCCCGCAGTCGAGCAACTTCATTATCCATCTAAATGCGGCTGTAGCCAACTTTGGCGAGATGGTGTGGCCTTGTCCACCTCTTTGTTCTATGGAAGTAGTATGCGGTCGATAAAAAGCTGCTTTTCTGTTTCAGTGCCGGTAAAAGACAGCTACGGTTCATGTACAGGATTATTCACCCCTTGATCGACGTGCGTAGGCAGGATTGCATTCGTTTCGACGTTGTTAATGCTTTTTTAGATGTAATAGATGTGAAAACAAAGCAGATGGTACTTTCAAGAGAATCCGATGACGCTGGTAGCGGTTTGGGCATAACCATACAGTAGAATTGCTGTCGAAATTCTGCTTCCTTAGGTAGTTCAATCTCGTTAAAGGTCATTGATGAATGAAAATGATAATCGCTGTGGATAGGTAGGGAAATGCAGTTATCAAAAATTAGACTATGGGAACAAAGTTTTTTTCGGTCACCCTTCATGGGCAGAACGACCGTGCGCGATGTACTCCGCTGGTCTGGGAATTTTCCCTTTCGAAAACATGATCGAATCATAATCTGTTTGAGATGAGTGTAATTTTTAAAATTGAAGAATGAATGCAAGATCATTCCTATGTCGTTGCCTCGGCCGATAGCATGGCCTAACAGATCAGAGAAAGATTTTCTGCCTTTCAATTGGTAACAACTTCTTGAGGGCTTTTCTAAAAAAAATCTCAAACCCGTTGCCTTACGATCCCATTTCGTTGAGACCGATCCCTTATTATACATCAGGCCACAGGAGCGCAGTAAACACGAGCTTCTAACCACCTTAAAAACGAATGCTGGGAAACAGTCAGCAACCAATGATAAGCTCATAAATATTTGCGTAAATTCATCCATTAAATCGGTTAAATTGAATTCTTTTGCAACAATCCGTGTGCACAATCAGTTACAGGGAACGCAGAGTAAAACGTGGCAGGCGACGTATATTTAATGCTTGATAATTGAATGGGGCGTCCTCACTGGTTGTACGGGCCCCAACATAATCTCCAATCCTCGGAGATTTGCTAGTTATGCCACTGCAATTCTCTGGAATCCCGAGATCGGCCTGGCCAAGGCTTGCCCCAGGTCTGCCAGATGCAGTCGCGGCCTGTGTGGATCGAAGGGTAAATCGGGACTTGCTGATAGAAAGGCCGTACTTCTTCTCAGCTTGGGGGATCTTGCTGAGATGATGAATCCCTCCATTGTGCATCGCAGCCAGATACCAGAAACATCTACCAGCCACGATAAGGTGGTAAACTATTAGGAGGTATATATACGTTACATTTCACCGATGAATACTATACAGTGCATTACTAGGATAAAACTTCCTAAAAGAAACACTGGTTCAATAGCTGTGGTGTTGGCTGGTTTATACAGCGGTAGCTCGTCGAATACCAGGCGGGCATTTGGGACCTTTCGCAGGTGTCGCAGGTCTTAATCCGAAACTTAAGCAACTAGACACTTATTTAAACAATACCAACACAAAATTGACAAATTGCACAAGATCAACGAATGTATATAATATACAAACTAGCTGAGAATTAGCTGAGAAACAGGCAAAACGAAGGACCCGGATAGTGTGGTGGTGAAGTGCGCTACTCCCCGGAAAGGACAATAGCGCGTTCGTTCCCCACAGCACCTGGGGTCCGGAGTTTTGCAAATATCTCAGCACTATAATAGTTATATTTCGCAGCATACCCTGCCATTAAAAAGAAAAAAGCAGTAAATAAAAGGGTTAGGAACGGAAAAATGATTAAGCGGAGTACGAAGGGTCATAAAGGTCCCCAAACGAAGTGGAACTAAAGCGCAAATTAGAAACAAAGAGTTAAAATGATTAGTTCCGAGTTGCAGTTCTCACTTCGCTGTGTACCACACAATTCTTAGGGGCACATTTACAGTTCGGCGGTAGGTCTGGAAAACGTGGTAACTCGAACTTCATGAGGTCGACACTTCAGGCGAAGCCCTAGAAACAGTGAACAAATTTAGAAGTAGGAGAAAAAAAGAGGTAAGGTCTGAGATCTGAAAACCTGGAGCGTAGCTTCTTTTCGCAGCATAATTTTAAGAAGCAAGAACAGCAGAAAAGCGGCCATCCTGACGGAATAAAACATGGATGACCGAATTCGTGAAAACTTCTTTTTGCTAATTGCGCATTAATACGTAAATATCCGCATATATATATGTATGTTTACATGAAATACCATGTAATTTAACCTATATCTACATAGAGCGCTAAGTGAAAGCGTAGGGCGTTGGTCTATCTTTTGGGAACTGTTTATACTTTCGACTCCTTCAGTAACGGTGGAAGTGATTGAGTGTGCACATTTAGCTCACATAGTTGCTTTCGTGGACCTATCGTTGTATCAAATCGGCGTATTTTAAGTGTTCCACTTAACACCAAATTCATCGTGAACGAGTAATTCCGAAGTTCGGAGTTCATAAAGAGGTTGGTAATTTCAAGAGCTGCAGGAGTTCATGAAGCTTATCCATCATTCATCAAATTCTTTGTTAGATCGATGAAACGGTGCGGCCAATGATGAAACACAAAATCGGGCAGTTAATTACTGTTCTTCTTCGTCTGAAGAAACTTCTAATTATGTTAGTGGAAATTTTATCATTGAAATTGCCTTGTGCCTCATTTCCCCAGGAATACTAGGACCTTCATATCGTACACAAAGTACTGAGGTCTAAAATCCAACCCTATCGTCTCGATACGTTTCACCGCACTTATATCGCGATCTCATTACTTCAATAATAAATTCACGTGCAATGTGTTTATAGCAAT